GCGTGTGTGTGTGTGTGTCTCTGCTGGGTGCTTGTGTAGCCGGGCCAGGAGGAGAGAGAGGAGAGTTTGGTACGCCAGCCTGACTTCATTCTCCCCTCACCACCAATCAGCTCTGAGCTTCCTCAGCTTCCTTTACTCCACCCATTCCCCTCAGCCAATCCACACACACCTCATATGGCAGGAGAACCAATCAAAAATGCTTTGATACTGACTCAATATGTGACCAACAACTGATCATTCATTTCATCTGATTCAAGGCTCTCAACTTGACCCACGTAGTCACAAACATTCTGACTTTTCATACTGATACTTGGTTTGTTTCATTCATGTGACCATTGCAGTTCTGTTGAGGATATGAAATGGAAACTATGAATAGTGGTAAAGGTAACTTTCAGATCAGTGTACTGTGAACAGCATCAGTCAAGGTGCTTTATTTAAGGACTGACACAGTCTAATCAGGAGGAGCAAGAAAAAGTCATTAAGATAGATTTAGATAAATGTATAAGAAAAGGTTGTCCCATCAACTTGGAGTTCTTGTTTTTCAACTGTCACAATGTAGTTTATCCCACATCTGCCTGCCAAGGACTGAAACATTCCCTTTGTTCCCTGGCCAAAGAGTGCATTATTGTAATAACCGCACAGTTTTAATGTAGCATCTTCAGAACTGTTTTAAATTAGTCCTCATGGCTGGAAGGCTACAGTCTCTCCTATTTGTTAAAGTAAAATACTAGCTAAAAGGTTAGTTATATTTAACCATATTTAGAGTCTAAAAGTGTAATTGCCATTTCTGCCTCCCAAGGACTCTCAACACTGTGGAATGCTCCCCAATGTTTCCAGCCCAAATTTTCTTTTTGTCAGGTACAGACATACTGAAAGAAAGTTTGAAACCTTTTAAGAAAGATGTTGCATGTTTTTTGTACACTGATCCTACTTCTACCACTTCTACCACTGGAATAAATGCACAAATAAATGCACAAAAATACAGTTCTATACAAGGTCGTGATGTGTTTATATACAGACATACAGATATAGACAGAACGTAACAGACTGGATCTTTGACTGATTTTATTTATGATATACTGATCTTTCCGGATACAGGTCTTTGTCCAGATTAACACTTCTCTTTAAGTCCCCCTATTTAGCATATTTAGCATATTTAGATACGTTAATGAAAATTTAGATCTGCTTACAACACCATTTTATTGTGTTATATACCAAACATTACATCTTTATATGCTGCTTATGACTGTTGTAAAAGGGGACTTAAAGTGTTGCCAGGTGAGTAAAACTGTGAACCTGGTGTTGGCACCACCTTAGTAAACTTTTTTGACACCTTCAGTTGTTTATTACCCCCAGCAAGCTTTAGAGGCCTGTAGCCTTCCAGTTATGAGAAGCCATTTAAAATAGTGATGAAGATGCTACATCCGAGCCATGTGGATATTGCTACAAATGCTTCAAACCTCTCCAGCCTATCAGAACTAAATATTCTCTCCAGTAATGTAAGACAACTGCACATCTGCCTCTCATTATCAAACTTTAAAATCCAAACAATGAATTGAACCCACCTGATGATCAGATGTTGGATCACAGAATTGAACTGCTAACCGCTCGCCTATGGTTGCTGACGCTGCTGCTGCTGCTGTAGAGAGCATGAAATAATGCTGCACCGTTCCCTCCCAGCTAGCCTACTGCACACACCGCCATACTGACTGGGTACATTTGAACTCCTTTTCAGAAACAAATTGCCAATCCAACTGTTTTGTGAAGCCTGAAAGCCCTCTGGCAAGCTTAAAATCCACCTTGGATGTCTACTGTTGCTCAGTCCAGGTGTCCATACAAGTGCTTTCATGTTACTTTGTTTTCTCTATGCCCAAAGTCACAGAATTGTGATAATCTGAGAAAAATATCAGGATTATCATTTTGGTCATTATTGTGTAGCTCAAATGAATATAGCCAGTGTTTCTCATTAAAAAATTATGAAGGGCCTAGCTGGGAAAGCATAACTGGATATGTGCTTTGTACTCATTTTGAGTAAGAATATGTCCCATATGTTTTATGTATGGCTCAGTATATTGTACGTGCCTCAATCTTCCTCATCTTGCGCTGCATTGCTTAGTTGCGCTGTGTTGTTGTGCTCGCACTGTATAGATTTATTTTTTTGCAGTCTAAATCATCCCTATTTCCACTCCCGGATATGCTTGTTATCTAAACCACACACAAATCAATATTTATTGGCTTTGTCTTCTGTATGGAGTACAGTAGATTTGACAAAGTCAATTTGGATATCTGTAATGGAGGACAGAGTTATTAGACACAGTGTAGTGCTAATCAGAGATCCTGAATGTCAACCTTCAAGAAAGACACTTTCAATCCACAAATTGCAAGCCGGATCAGATTAGCGTTTCTACAGCGTCAAACGTTGGAGATGTTCATTTTATCGCTTCACGGCCCTAAATGAAACATTCACGCAGATTGACCCTGATCGGTCTCCTTTCCCTTTGTGCTCACATTAGTGGAAAATGGCCTGCGCATGACACCTGCCATGTGTGCTGGGTTTTCTCTCTCCCATAAAGGCTCATCGTCATGGTGGAGCTGGTGTTGTTTCTGCAGTAAGGTCGTTGGCATGGAGTCCTGCCCAGCTCCATTCATGTCCCGATCAGCTGGAATGGCTTGTGTTTTATTTGTGATGTACCTGCTAAGCTTCTGGGATTCTCCATTTCTCTGTGGCTGACTCACGCTGCTCTCTGGACACGCACAACTGATTAAACCACGCCGTCAGAGCCTGATTATCCGAGGAACCGCAGTCGTTCTTTGGTTTTCTCACCTCCTCTTTCAATCCCTCTTTTCTCTCCCCTCTCTTAATCTATAGAGGACTATAACGTTAGGTGCTGGTGACCGGCAAGTGATCCAGACCCCCATCGATGACTCACTTCCTGTCAGTGGCAGCAGCGTGGCCCAGCTCTTCAGACAGCTCGGTATGGACAGTTACTGCATAATATGGAATCTTTCTAGTTCTGTCCCATTTCCAAGTAGCATTTTTGTGAATCGAACTAACAAATATCGGATTTTGAAATGAAAGAGAGGTTTATAAATATGTAAAATGGGATATATTTAATTGATTAGTAAGCCTTATAGTTTATATTCTTTCCCAACCATTGCTACTGTTCTGTAAAAGCAGATTTAAATTTAAATTGTTACTTTCACTTCTATCATCATGAATTTGTTCACTGCTCTGGGCTCCCTGTGATGCCTTGTCTCTGCTCTCTCTCCCTCAGGTATAATCAATGTTTTGTATCTGTTCTGTGCCGCTCTGACGGAACATAAGATCCTGTTCCTGTCCAGCAGCTACCAGAGACTAACAGATGCCTGCCGAGGACTGCTGGCCATCATGTTCCCCCTCAAATACAGGTGTGATCCCCCCTCCTTGGTCTCTCCATGTTGTGTCTTAAGATCTTTCTCTGGGTGTTTTTTTTATTTATTTCAGGACACATTTGATCTAATATCTAGTGGGTTAAGCATGGAGCAACGGATTGTTGACAGCAGATGGGCTTAATCCCTTCCTGTGTTTGTCCTTTTCAGCTTCACCTATGTTCCCATCCTGCCCGGGAAACTACTAGAGGTCCTGAGCACCCCCACCCCCTTCATCATCGGTGTCAATTCATTCTTTCGCTCAGAGACGCAAGAATTGGTGAGTTTTCATTGCTACAATACGCTACTACAGTATAAGAAACTAGCATGATTTTATGTTTTGTGATACTGTATCGATTCTCAAAAACACTATTTTTTTAAATTAATAGTTTACGTATGGTGTGGTGGTTATGCATATGGTGGTGTGTTCTTTTATTAAATAATATATGAATTAGATGTTTTTTAAATCACACAATATACTTGTTTACAGTATCGCAATGTATCACGATATGTTGAATCCTTACCCCTGTTTGGGGTAACAGTAATGTAAATATTGTTTTAAAACACACTTAAAAAATTTAACCTGACCTTTTATGTGTGAACTGAATGTAAAAGTGATAACTACCAAACTGGACTGCCTCTGCCCAGTACTTCACTAAAAGCAGTAAGGTTATTGCAGTATCAATACGCAAAACTAGCTTTTAAGCCAGCTTTTTTTTTAATGTCAGATCATGAAATGTCCTCATTCGCCACCATAGTCGTTTTATGGGAGATTGTTGGCAGTGCCTTCTGAAAGAGAAAATAAAAAAAAAGCTTTTGAACAGAAAACAACCAGGGATGCAGCCTGAAGCAGCAGAAAATGTTGGCTCCACACAGCCGGCCGGAGGACAAAATGCCAGCTACGCACAACGCTGCTCCATCAACAATAAACAAACAAAGTATCATTAAAAAACCCCAGCATGCACTTTTTGTAAGATAAGATCAGCTGGAACACCTGCTGCCAATTTTCAGCTGCTGGAAAGAAAAGCTTTATATTCAAAGCTATCTTAGTGTTAAACGTTAAATATATTGTTCCATAGTTTAATAAACCAGAATGGCAGAAAGGCCAAACTCCTCTGTGAAGAAACCCTGTTGTATAGTTACACTAAATACCCTTAGCTGCTCTCATATGGAGTTTTGATTACAATGGAGAGAATGTTTGATGTAAACTCTCACTGACCCTCTAAGCGATGGTTCATCTGTCTTTTAATAAACTGCCCCCGCTGCCATCTGCTCCTTTGCTACCTGCCTACCTTTGTAGATTCTAATAAGGTACTCTTTACAAACCTTGCCAAGATAAATTATACCAATACACATCACAATAATTACTGTCTAGATGTAATGATCAAAGAAAGTAGTAGTGATGTCTGACCATATGCTGCTGCCGCCCAGATGGAGCCATTGTCTCACATCACAGCGAGGCACTGTTTTGTGCAGTAGTCACACGCCCATTATCAATGTAAGAGCAGTGTTGAGGGTCAGAGGTTATCGTTTGGGCAGCGTTTCCTGATGTCGGCAGTGAAATGTGAATGTTTTGTTGTTTGATAGCATCCTGTAATGAGCAGCTGCTGACGGAGACGCCTCTGTCCGCCTCTGCATTTGTCTTTCAGTCGCTGTAATTAGCTTGCGTATCCTGTCGCTTATCAACTGTCTCCGAAGCAGACATGAAAAGTGTGTTTGTGCGTGTGTGTTTTTAGTTGGACGTGATCATCGCTGACCTGGACGGCGGTACGGTGACCATCCCCGAGTGCGTCCACATCTCCCTGCTGCCTGAACCGCTCCTCCAGCAGATCCAGACTGTGCTGTCCATGGTAAGAACTGCAGCCTAAACCCTGAACACACCCATAATAATACACACTACGACTGAGTACTGGGAAATCTCATTAACATCCAGTGTGTGGTTTCTACCAAGCAATAAATTCCCCGGTGGTGCTTTATGGGTTGAGATGCCAGGAAGCTTTTCAGGGTTTGTTTTCCTACTAGTTCTTTGGATTACTCTTTTCATGTTTAATTTTGGGTTTGGTGTCATGTGGTTGATTTGATTTTTGCTTAAGATAGTATAATTTCTACTCCGTCGGCCTCATTTATGAATATTCAAATGTTGTTCATTTCAAAAGTTTTCCTGCTGGACACAAGATGTCCATTCTCAGTGTATGTGCACTGGTGACTTCAAGTTTCTACATCACACTTGTGACTTGACTTCCTGAAATGCTCATTAAAAATAACATTTGTTAAGCAAAGAGTAACTTTCCACTTTTAGCAGGTGAATGTGAAAACATCCTTCTAGAGTCAAACTCTGCACATACAGCATTCAAAGAGCACACTGTAGGAACAAGTAGAACAACATATTTTTTACTGGCGGGTGTGCTTTAAGTTTTAGTTTAGAATGGCATTTTTGGATGTTTGTAAAATGCAAGGCTGCCAACTCAGCTCGTTGTATAACCATATCACCCTCACACAAATAGTAAACAATGTCCTATCAAGTCCTGTCCCTGCATTGTACTATTGTGTTCATATCAAGCATGTCAAATAATGCCAGCTCACATCAAGCACTTTACTGCGTCATGCAGTTCCAGCTCCTTCCAGTATTCCAGTGCCAGCCCCTTCTGAGAAATGATTTTTATCTGTTTTAGTGTGCAAACAAGTGATTTTCAAGCTTCCTCATTCTCTTATAGATATCTGCATCTGCATGCAATTCTTTCCTGCTTCACATTGGGATTTGTTATTACTTGTTTTATTGAATGTCTCAGGTATGTGGATCACAATGGATCTGTTGCAGGAAGTTGCCCTCAATTTATGATCACTTTGCTAGATAAACTGTAATTTGTTATGATTGCAGTGAAGTATCCAGTAGTTCAGACTGTTAGCATACAAGATACACCCCTAACACATTCTCAGTTTTGTTATCTTGCTGATCTGCCGACTCACGTGCTGCAAAGTTGTAAACTGTTGACTGCACAAACTAATAATAATGAGTGTTTTTTTACAGTAAGTATACAGCGCTCATAAAAAGTATTCTTTCCCTGTAGCTTCTTCATGTTTTATTCTTTTACTGCATTGAATAACAGTGGATGTAATTTGTATTTTATGACTCAGAGTACCAGACAAAGAGTCTACAGCATGGCTAAAACCTCTTTAATGTCAAAGAGGAACCAAATCTCCATAAATACATTTACAGTTACATTTATAGAAACGTTTGCATTTTGACTTCAGTCTTTTTCTGTTGATCAGTGTAAAGAAATCTTAATTAACTCACAAAAAACCAATGTACAGTGAAAAACAGTGAATCATTGGGCTTGTAACCCCTTACAAGAAAGCAGTGTCAAGTTGGGGCTTGAGCTGCAACAAGTCAATTAATCGATTAGTTATCAACCATCCAAATTCTCTGATTTCAGTTTCTTAAATCTTCTGGTTTCTTTAGTACTCTGCAACAGTAAACTGCATGTCTTTGAATTCTAGAAAAAACAAGACATTTGAGGAGGTCACCTTGGGCTTTGGGAAGTAGTGATCAACATGTTTTACCATTTTCTGACATTTTATGGACCAAACAACAAACTGATTAATCGATAGTGAAAATAATCGTTTGTTGCAACCCTAGTTGGGGCCCTTCATCACATTTCATACATTGTTGTTAGCAGTTCTGCCAAAGAGACATTTCCCCTTTAAACTTCTCACACGGTTTCATTTCAGTAATTGTTTGCGGATCAAAGAGGTCAAATGATTCAGTATTTCACAAAAAGCGAAGACCTCAACAAATGACCACAGAGTTTTGTAGCAGAACATTAATTATCCCTCAAATTTAGCTTATGACGTTTCTGTGTCACCAGATAAATCTGGCATACTTAACTCCATGTGAACTAGTTAAAAGTAGCTCGACATTGAAAGTAGCTCGACATGGATAACCTACAATAAAATGCTGCTTACACATGAACAAATCTGTATTAACTGTTGCTCTTCATCAGGCTTGTGAAAAGATACAAAAACCAACTGCTTAAAATAAGATTTAGCGCATACAGGACAAACATTGTTAATCCAGCTCTATATGAAATGGATGGCTTCCAGTTGTCTTGGTTGCACCACTGAGTCAGTTGTGGGAAAGTCCTCCTGATGTGTGTTCTGATGCCAAGTCATCCCTTCCTGGATAGTCGGGTTTGTTTGCTGTTGTGGTTACAGTCACGTATACAACACAATGATTCACTTTATTTGATTGCACCTATAAGATGACTGATGAGTTTCTGGAAAGAAATTAATAAACTTGTCCCAAACCACAGGACAGCTTTCCCTCTGCTGGAGAGGTGATGTCAGTGAGGCAGAGGGGAGGATGTGTTTATTTGGGGGAGGCTGGAGCTGGCATCCACTGCTCTGTCTAACATATGCCAAGTGCGTATTTGGATGGAGCGAGGAGACTAAAGTTTGGGAAAGCTCTTCCCACGGACTCTCATCGTATTTGAAATATTTTGTTACTTATCAAAATAGAAGCTGAAGATACAGTCTCTGCCTGCAGCCTGCAGTCAAGTAAAAAACCTACAATAAACTAGTAGTATTATTCTAATATTAATATTGCCTATCTATTTTTATTTGAGGTCACATTAACGTCTCAAAATGTTCAGCATGTAAGCTGCTACTCAGAACTCAATAATAGGTTATCTTAATTATTTTTATTTTGACTCATCTATAACAAAACTTCATAACATTACACATTCTTTATCCTAACCCTGAAAAAGCACAATGCTGAATAGGTGTGATAAGCCGGTATTGATGATAAAACTGTGCTATTTAAAACACAAAATATTGATGAATCTGTTAATACACATATGATAATATCGTGAAAATAATCTAGCACTTCCTAAATCATTGGTGTTTCTTTCTGTTCTTGCTTTGTGGTTCACGCTCCGTGTAATTGTCCTTTTTGTCCATTTTTGTAATGTTATGTTCACTCTCTCCACCTCCCTACACTCATATTTTGAGTGTAATTAATTTGCCAAAAAGGAGACAAAAAACAATAAAAGTCGAAGATGAATTTTCAATTGTTCTCATCTTCTCAGCTTTGCCTCTTCATCCACTCTGAGCCAATGAAAAACTCTACACTCTACACAATCGCATTAATCTTTATCTACCTACATTACTCTTCCCGTCATCGAGCCACTATACCTACTGCACAACCTTGTGATTGGCTTCTTTTATCTTAATTATATCCTGTTAATTGTTTTATTATCTTAAATACGTTTTTATCTACACTGATGTCCTTTGCTCCTCATGAAAAAACAAGCCAATTAAAAGTGTGTGTTAAGGTGACTTAGTGAAAGGAAAGCCACCACAGCCCCCTGTTTGATTTAATTTTGTCTTGTGAATCTTGGAAGGATGGCGTTGTTTTTATAATTACGTCATGTCTTGGAGAGATCCTCCTAATTTTACTGGTAACCCTAATATAATACCCCGAAAGATCTCTAAAGCCAGTTTTACTACTATTCCTAAAAAAATAATGCGTATAACTTTTTGTTACTACCAACAGTTGTGTGTCAAAGTATCCTCAAGCAAGACACTGAACCTGGACCCACTGACTGGGTCAACTGCTAAATACCTCAGATTACAAGGCTCAAAATAAATGTATTTTATGGTGAAATCTACTTGGGATCATCCCACATGTTGTTGTGTTTGGGGCTGTTTCTGTCACTGGCTGCTCTGTGGGCTTTATGGCTTATAACCTGGAGACTCTTGTGTGTTGTGGTCCTTGCTCTGCATTGATGGAATGAGAGCTGGAAACGAGTCAAAGAGAAGTTCACTGGGTTATGGGCCTGTGTCCTCTGCCAGCAACACTGTGTATAGACACTAGTCTGTATATCAGCCGGTCAGATCAGCGCACATGGGAGGGACCGACCTCCCTTGTTCAAACAAGACACAAGAAGAGAAAGCTGGAAAACTGATCAGGGGGTTTGTGCAGCAGGTCTTTCGTTGAATTGTGTGAAAATGTTCCCTGGGAAAGGTAGAAGCTGGTTTGGATGAAGGTTGAATGATGCTGGAGATTGTTGGGCAGCAACACGAACCAGGGCTTAGCTGCTGTGCTCTCCTTACAGTTAGCTGAATGAATTTTCATGTAACAGGTTGAGTCTGAAGGCTGTTTCCAAGGTAATATCTGTTGATGGTTTGTTGATTGGGCTCTGGATGCTGCTGCTGCTACTGTGTCTCTTCACACTGTAAAACATGGAAATTAAAGCTTTTGACCAAGAAGTCACGTTACATCAAGATATCATTGTGATACCCATATTTACTGTTAACAGTTACTATTATTTCGATTAATCTGCTGATTATCTTTGATTGTTTTGTCAGAAAATATTGAAAAATACCTCTTATATATTTCTATCGTCCAAGTTGACTTCTTTAAATGTCTTTTAAATAGAAGAAGATATTAAAAATAGCTGCTACTTATTTTCTATTGATCGACTATTCGCTATTTGGGGTTTTCTGGTTAGTTCAGTGCACAAAAAAATACAGGAGTTTTGCTCCAAGTGTAAAGTTAAATGAAAATATGTATCTTGTGCATTTATTTTGAAATTCATCCTTTCCTATGCCGTATTTGAGTTTGTGCTGACATGCTGTTACTAGAAATCACTAGATTTAAAGACAGAAATGTTTGTAAATCTTACTGACACAGATGGTACTGTTTAGGATTTTCACGATAAAATATTGTTTAAATCACTAGATTAGTCTCAGGTCTGATGCAGCAGGAACAAGCTGTAGCAGAAGGGTTGTAGAGGGAGTTAGATAGTAATTAATGGTGGCTTCATGTTTGTTGTAGGTTTTGGATCCGGAGCTGGAAGTCGCTGATCATGCCTTTCCCTCAGTGTCCACACAACCTTCTGCACTCAAGATCCAGGTAAGCAAAACACTTGAGTTCTGACATGTCTCAAATTTGTTTTAATAATGTAAAAGTTTCTTACTATATTTCCTGTGATAAATTAACCAAATGATAAAGTTTTCATTAGCTCCAGCTCTCTTTGTACTGCACTTTTCCTAAACGTAGCCAGTAAAGACAGCACTGTGACACATTCTGGGCACAGCATTAACGTCAGGAGGCTTTTCAATAGACAGCACCATGAATTACTGCAACCCAAGATCTCGCCAGTGGAAGCTATTGGTACAGCCAAATTGCTTATTCCCTCAACCAAAGATGTTGTGGCCAGACTTTGTCCAAAGTCTTACACTCTCGTTTAAATGGCAAGATACGTTTTATTATTTATTTATCCTTGTTGGCATTAAAAGGGTATAAAAAGGCCAAAAATGTAACTGGATCAAATCTACAGCTCCACTATTCTTGAAGTTTTCCAGAGTCTGTGTCCAGTTCAGTTCTTCATTCCATTATTCCTTTAGTGTGTGTGTGTGTGTTGGCTTTAACAAGACTTTTGCGTGTGTTTCAGGATAAGGAGATCCGGGGAGTTTTCCTGTGGCTGTTCGCTCGGCTCTTCCAGGGCTATCGCTGGTGTTTACACATCATTCGCATTCACCCAGAACCAGTGATCCGCTTCCATAAGGTCAGTAAACAACAAATCTCTGTCCATAAAGAGGAAGAGCAACCGCAAGAGAGAGGCTGACAGTGTGTAACGTGTGTTTCCACAGGCTGCCTTCCTGGGTCAGAGGTCGCTGACGGAGGACGACTTCCTCATGAAGGTGTTGGACGGCATGGCGTTTGCGGGCTTCGTGTCAGAGAGAGGGCCTCCTTACAGAGCCACTGACCTGTTTGATGACGTGAGTCTTTCAACTCACTGTTCTGGATTGTGCTGACTTTTCTTTTAAAGGACAGGGCAGGGTGGTTACGGACAGTTGTCACACTGCCCAGTATATCAGACCATTAACATGGGAATTTTTGTACAGGATATGCTTGGCGTTCAAGTGATAAGTCGTAACAACAGTGCTGCTCAGCAAAAATAGACACCAAAAGACTCCTAGTTAGAGACAAATGTTTATATATCTATAAAAGTTTGGAGTTTTCGGAGCTTTCAGAAATGTTCACTTCCGAGATTGGGAATACTACAAGAACTCTTCTTTTGAACACGATTAACATGACCCCAGAACATGACTGTGCCCAAAATCACTCCCTCCTTACTATATAGTGCACTATAGTTACAATAGTCAGAATTCTGAGTGTGACATCTATGCTCTATGTAGCGCCCTAATAAATTCACACAATGGAACCAGTCCCATTTTATAGATGTGAAAGTTACAGTGAAACCACAAAGTGTCCTACTGAGTGTCTTGTCATGTATAGAGTAGTGGACACAGCCCCAGTCAGTTCTCTTCAGTCTCTTCAGTTACAATGAAAAGAGACACAAATGTATGAAGGCTTACAACTGCCAAGTACTGCTGACACTAAACATCATAATATCATGGTTCCCACGGGTCCTTGTCCTAGACATAAGCAGGGGTCATTGAAAGCACCTGAACTTATATATTTTTGTATAAATAGAAATGTATGAAAATTGAAGTTCTTTTGATATTTTTTAAATATGAATTATTATTATTTTTACTCTTTCTGTCTTTTTTTTAAATTAGGGTCAGAGTTAGGGAGCTTCTGTGATTTCGTGTAAAGCCTGTTAGTTCTCATTATAAAAATTCTCAGTGTTGTAACAGAAATGAACCTTGATCTGTCTCTCAGACTCTACCATGTTTAATTTGAGAGCAGTTGAGCCTGGAAAGTCCTGGAAAATAATAATAATAATAATGAATGAATGTAATGAATTAAACTGATCTCTGATTTATTTTTAGTGTTGTGTGGATGGGATCAGGTGCAAGTTTTGTTTACATTCAGTGTTTCTCTTTAAAAGTGCATTTCCTCCCTCAGTAAACATTTGTGAAGCTGATTTTCTTTCAATATGCCAGAACAAATGTTAATTTATTTATTTCAGTTTGTGAAACTGTCACTTTTTAATGTGGCTCACATATGAAAGGTTGATGCTGAAATTTGAGGTCTTCTTTGTCCTGTTTCCCCAGCTGGTAGCCAATCATGTGGAACGGATACGACAAGAGGAGACCTGTCCACACAAAGTCATGAACCATGTCAAGGAGCTGGCTGAGCAGCTCTTCAAAAATGTACGAAATTTACAAAGAATACCTACTACTTACCCCTTATTCTGCCGCTTTCCTGTCAATCCTGTTATGCCCCCTTTCTTTCCCACAAGTTTCTTCATGTGAGAAACTCTCCATCAGTTCGTTGGCCCAGTTTATGTCTTAACTTTCCTGGTTTCTTTCTCTCTCCCTTGCTCTTACCAAACTAATGGCAGGAGACACATCCCTCTCTATCATAGCTCTGTTTTTGTTCAGTGGTGTCTTTGTTTTCTCACCACTGCTCCTCTTTATTCTCTTTCTGTCTTTCCCTCCCCTGTAGGAGAATCCCTACCCCGCTGTGGCAATGCACAAAGTCCAGCGGCCGTCAGAAAACGGCCAGAACACTGCACAGAATGAGAGGCCCTTCCCTGGGCTGGACGACGTTGCGGTCCAGCTTTTCATCGACCACGCTGCCGCAAAGCTCAAGACTGCGCCTCCTGTGGTTAAGGCGGAGCTCAAGGGCATGGTGCCATCTGGGCCCCCACTGGGTGAGCTGGGGAGAAATTGGTTTTATGTGTAAATTGGTAATTTGGTAAATTCCAGGTCTTAATAAAAATGTTTGGATCAGATTCATTTGACATAAGAAGACAGAAAAACATATGTAGATGTGAAGTTGTGATGTTTTAAAAGATAAGATAAAGTGGTAGACAACACCCAGACATTAGTAAAAAACATAACATCGAGTTCGACTTCTCTACTTGCACCTCAAACTTCCTGTGTGAACTTTTCACTCTGCAGTCTGTCTCACAGTGTGTGTTTAATGGGGTTGAGTTCCGTGTCGCAGTGATGAATGAGCGTCTTATCACCCTCTGCCTGTCTCCACAGGAGACACAGTGGACAGGAACGGCAACGTGATGGCCAACAGCGCCCGCCGGCTGGAGGTGGTCAGGAACTGCATCACGTACATCTTTGAGAACAAGATGCTGGAGGCCAAGAAGGTAAGAGCGATGTATCTCTGCATGACCAGTTGAGGAGGACAATAACAAAACGTCCTTACTGGTTGTCATTGGTTTGGTTTTTGTGGAGTGATTTCAGCTGTTTTCATCTCCTCTGTCCAGTTAATGCCAGCTGTGTTGCGGGCACTGAAAGGTCGGGCAGCCCGGATTTGTCTGACCCAGGAGCTCAATCAGCACGTCCTACAGAACCGAGCTGTGCTGGATGACCAGCAGTTTGACTACATCGTCCGAATGATGAACTGCACCTTACAGGTGAGCCTGCAAATATAGTCACTAAGAGTCAGTAATATATATATATATATATATATATATATATATATATATAAAAAAAACAACAACTTGAGGTGATGTATTTCTTCATTAAACGGC